CTGAATCACTCTAATATACGCTACAGGCACTCTTCTAGCCTCCAAACATCTCCATAGAACCTCTCTGGGGACTTTGTCATAGGCCTTCTCCAGGTCAATGAACACCATGTACAAATCCTTCTTCACCGTCCTAAACTGCTCCACCAATCTCCTCACAATATGAATGGCCTCAGTGGTCGACCGTCCTGGCATGAAACCAAACTGGTTCTCGGAAATGGACACACACCTCCTCCCACACTTTCATCGTATGGCTTATCAACTTGATACCCCTATAGTTGTTGCAGTTTTGGACACCCCCCTTATTCTTGTACAGCGGGATCATCGTACTCTGCATCCATTCTTTGGGCATCTTCTTCGTCCTAAAAATAACGTTAAACAACCTAGCAAGCCATTCCAACCCCTCCTTACCCACGCTCTTCTAGAATTCCACCGGGATCTCGTCCGGCCCCGTCGCCTACCCCTACTCATCTTGCGCATAGCCCCTAAAACCTCCCTCACTCGTATACGTCTACAGTACCCAAAATCTCGCTGCCGCTCCGAGTGCTCCAACTCCCGCAGCACAATGACCCTATCTCCCTCTCCATTCAAGAGCCTATGAAAGTAAGACTGCCATCTCTGCCTAATCTGTGCCCCCTCCAATAAAACTCTTCCCTCCTCATCTTTTATGCATCTTACTTGGTCCAGATCCCGGGCCTTCTGCTCCCTCACCTTCGCTAGTCTGTACAAATTCCTGTCCCCGCCTTAATCCCCAATTTCTTTGTATAGACGACTAAACGCCGCGGTCTTAGCCGTAGTAACCGCCAACTTCGCCTCCTTCCCAGCCTTCTTATACCCCTCCCTGTTAGCACTCTTCTGCCCCTCATCGATACTCTCTACTAGCTTCAAATATGCAGCTTTCTTGGCTTCCACTTTTCTCTGAACCTCTTTGTTCCACCACCAGTCCCCTTTATGGCCACCAGAAAAACCCTTTGAGACCTCTAACACCTCTCTCGCCGCCTCTCTAATGCAATTTGCTGTCATAGACCACATACAACTCGCATCCCTGCTACTCCTCCAGGACCCCATAGCCAGCAACTTCTCCCCCAACTCCTAAGCCTTGTCCTTAGTCAATGCACCCCACCTGACCCTAGGTATACCAAACATAGCCCTCTTCTTCCTCGTCCACCTGATCTTTAAGTCCATAATCAAAAGCATATGCCGGGTCGTAAGATTCTCACTCGGGATGACCTTGCAATCCGTGCATAAACTATAGTGATCACATAAATTAAGTATACTATATGTATATAATATAAATAATATGAGTTAAATATTATGCCAAATATAAAAAGGTATATAAATGTTGTGTTTGTATGTGTATATATTTGAGGTAATATTGATTCATAGCTAAGGTACTTACAAAGAAAAAAATCAGAGAAGCTATTTTTTGTTTGAAAAAGGAAGTTTGGTCAAAGCCAATATGCCATTGATATCACATTTATGTATTAAATGATTGAAAGTTGCACTTTTAAGAATTAAAAAAAAATGAAGAACATACCCTATCAATCGAAGGAGAATGAGATATATGTTGGAGTTGAATTGTATATAAGTGAATTTATAGCTTGAAAAGGTAACGAAGGAAAAGGAGGTTTTCTGGGAAATAATTGATTGCAAGTTGTTTTAATTTCCTTTCTGTTACCCTAAATAAAGATAATTCCTTATTTTTGGGTGTTTGTTTTTAGTTGGATATTGTATTATTAAGGGATACTTCAGAATCAATTTTCTAATATATAGGAAATCTATCGTATTTGAGGGTATAACTTTGATACATTTATCATATTTATGTTGTAGAATATGTTATTTAATTAATAGTTGTAGATTGTGAAATATTTTTTGATTTCATCAGTAATTATGAAATTACCACTAATCCAACCCACTAAAATATGAGAGATTTGCATCTATATCCGCTTTTTAGGTCACGTTTTAACTTATACCCGCTTTACAAAAAAATTGCAAGCATACCCACTTTTCGCGTAAACTTCAGGCATACGGACCTGAAGTAGCAAAGGCAATCACACAAACTTCAGCATTCTGGTAGACGTGGCTGAAGTTGTTTGTAATTGCTGAACTTAAGCATTCTACTAGCTGAAGTTTTGTTCTTTATTTGCTGAACTTTAGCATGTTTTAGCTGAAGTTTTTGCCTGAAGTAGCAAAGAAAATCACGCAAACTTCAGCATTCTAGTAGACGAGCCTGAAGTAGCAAAAATTGCTGAACCAAGTGTTGGCTGAAGTTTTTGTTTGTAATTGCTGAACTTAAGCATTCTACTAACTGAAGTTTTGTTCTATATTTGCTGAACTTCAGCATTGTGGCTGAAATTTTTGTTTGTAATTGCTGAACTTAAGCATTCTACTATCTGAAGTTTTATTCTCTATTTGCTGAACTTCAGCGTGTTTTAGCTAAGGTTTTATTCTGTATTTGCTGAACTTCAGCATATCTAACTCTTATCTACTTCATAATTCATGGCAAACGAAAATCAATCACAAAAATTAGAAGCCGATGTTGATTAGATAATTAAGTTGAAATTTATTTAACTTTGCTTTCCGGCTAAAGTTTCTCATAGATAATTAATTGAATCACCAACATAAGGAGCCTGTTTTAATTTGGATGCAACTATTCTGAAATTTATGGAGTTTGATATCCGTTGAAATCTCTCTCGTAAATAGTCAGTTGATCACACTTAAGGATCTAAACCTAATCAAGGAAATGCGTAGCAAACGAGTTTTATTAGAAAAAAAAAATTGTGAAAGAAATTTGCAACAACAAGGCCAATTGTACTTGTAGATTCACAAGAAACTGGTGTTCTTCAATCAATAATACTTAGATAGAGTCTCACGTGTTTGAGAGAGAAAAGAAGAAGAAGAGGAGGTAAAGAAAGGAGGACGAAAGGAGCACACCAGTAGCAGGAAGAAGGAAAAAATTAGGGTATAGGTTAAATAATTTTTGAAATACAGGTATAGATTAAATGGGGGTGACCAAATAGGACGCCCGTATAATTTTTACCTAAAATATTGGCGGATTGGGCGGTTGATAAAATATGGGCTCATTTTGCCAGCACTATACCCGGCTAATGTGTACCCACGTGGGTTCGTTCATAACCTCATTGTCAGAGGGCCACCCGAGCGCAAGTATCCTAATCTGACTAAATCTTTGTCTCCGCATAATATTTAAAACTCTCATAAGTCTTAGATGTGAGTTGGAAGTGAAGATAGAGAGTTTCTACCATATTTTGTTAAAAGTTTTACTATTAAGTTAGTTCAAATAATAATTCTCTTTAGACTGAGGGCTAATTTGGGAAAACAGAAGTTTATATTAGGGCATTAAACGATTGGCTTCCGAATTTTTTTATTTTGTGCCTCACACTCTTTTTTATCTCACAACTGTGTGGGTCTCAGAATTTTGTGTACCTAGATATGTAACATATGGGTCCACAAATATGTGAGATAAAAAGAAGCCTCACACAACTAGTGTAAATTGTGTGAGACACAAAATAAAATCACTCGATATCCCAATACACCAAATAAGGCCTTCTTCCTAGGGAGCGGAAACCAAGAAAAGTTAAACACCACATATCCATCTTCCTCTTTAACGTGACCAAATACACGCACTTAGAGAAGGCGTGTCGTAAACGTATTTCTGGCCGCCCATTATTTTTTGGGATAATTTCACATAAATACAACTCACACATCTGACTTGCAACATAATAGCTCAGTCATAACTTTACAAATCTGTAGCCCAAAAATAATAGGCTAATATTTGAAAAACGAGTATTTTCTAGCTTTTTTATTCGGCAACGGAGTTTAATCAGGACAATTATCTTATTTAGATAAAGTCATGAGATTTTCTAATTCTTCTGTCATCTAATTTTGATCTTTCTCCCCCAATTTTTCTTTAGTGCTGCAAGTTGTCCCCCAATTTTTCGCTGATTCTACTTATATGGTAAAATTTAGAAACAATTGCTACAAGTTCGTGATTTGGCGGAGAATCAACAAGGAAAGTAGATTTATACATGAATTATTCTAGAAAAAGTAAGAAAACATGAAAAAAATTAATTTGATTATACATATGCAGTACATGTATAATGATGTATAACTATGTATAAACTTGTATATGGAATGTATAATAATGTATATCAAAAGAATAAGAGAAAGAAGAAGAAGATAAGTGTCAAACTTCCATGGAGGCCATTTATATAATGACAATGTATATATATCCTTATACATTGAGAAATAAATAATTATGTGATGTTATGAACATACATACACATTTATATATATATACACACATTTATACACAATTATACAATAATGTATAAGTGTGTACAAATAGTGGTTACACAATATTTATACCAGAACACATCTTATGTTCAGTATTACACCTCTATTTCAGTACCAAAATATCAAAAGAGAGTTTTTCAGAGGAAGTTAGATCTGAAAATTAAAGAGGAGAGAAGATGGAGATGAAATTGTTTTATAAAAGAAGATAAATAACTGGAACATCATCTCAATAACTTGAAAATTGTCTGAAATTATCGTCGACCACCGGAGATTCATTTTCCGATGACTTCACTGACTTTGTCGTCGACCTCTTTACCTTGAAAATTGAAGGGAAAAAATGGGTAAAGGATGTTTTCCACCGCCATATTTATTTTCCGATGACATCGTTAACTTTGCCGGCGACCTCTCGATTGACTTCACTCTGAAAGTTGAAGAAAGAAGAAAAAATGAATAAAGGAGGTTGTCTAATTCTCTTCTCCACGCTAGGTTAACCGATGAAATCATTTTTATGCATTATCTATAAAGTGGGCTATGTCGGGTAAAGTATTAAAATATGGGCTATTTTTGATTATGAGATTGGGCCGGCTGAGGTAGAATGTAATTCTTTCTTATTTTTTTGAGACTTGTTTGTCCTTGCATTTTGTAAAAACCTTTTCAACTATCGTTTGTATCCACTTGGGCTTTACTTTAACGTTGGTTTGCGTCTGTTACTAAAGATGAAATATTACAAAAGTACAAGTCAGAGCAAAACGCGGAGAATTGTGATTTATCTACGTATTAGGTCTAGCAGTAAATGGAAACACAAACACCATTGCTCCACGACTTCTCCGGCGACCACCAGCAGCAGCTCATTGGACTCGACGGTGATTACCGGCCCGTTAAAAGCCTGAAACAATGGTGGGCTATCTTCTGGATCGAGACCGTCAAGCTATGGGAGATTGGTGGCCCAATAGCTTTCAATATCCTTTGCGAGTTTGGGATCTATTCCATTACTGTTGCTTTCTGTGGTCATCTTGGTGCTATTGAACTCCCTGCTGTTTCTGTTGCTCAAAATGTCATTGGTACTTTCTCTTTCGGTTTCATGGTTCGTACTACTTTCTCCCCTCTTTTTGCTGTTATTGCTAGAAGATGACATAAATATTCTTTTATGTTTGGGTAGGTCTATTATGATCCTTTGAATATACTCTGAGCGGCTTAGGTCACGTAATTTTGTCAAAAGTATGCACTTTTGGTGTTGCAATTGCTGGGATTAGAGTTAGAGGTGTTTTCATTGTGTTTTGGTTAAATTCTTTTTATATTGCCCGTTAAAGATAATGACTAGAGTTTGTTAAATATTTGACGACGACTAAAGGTGCACACTTTTGACAAACTAGGACCAAAGCTGCTTAGACTCCTTCTTTGTCATTTTATATATACTGTTATTGCACAAATTATTTATGTAATGTTAGAGTCTTATTTGGGTATTTGTACAATATTTCTGTAGTTGGGCATGGGAAGTGCTTTGGAGACACTGTGTGGACAGGCGTTTGGTGCTGGGCAAATACACATGCTTGGCGTGTACACGCAGCGCTCGATGATTATTCTACTATTTAGTACATTCATTCTGTTGCCAATTTATATTTTTGCGACACCAGTACTTAAGCTTCTAGGCCAAGAACATGATATTGCTGTACTTGCTGGGAAATTTGCCATGTTAACAATCCCTGAGTTGTATTCCCTGGCGATCACTGTTCCCACCTCAAAATTTCTGCAAGCCCAGAGTAAAGTTTGTGTTGTGGCTTCTATTGGATTTGTGGCTCTTTTACTCCATGCTGTTCTGCTATGGTTATTCATATATGTATTTCACTGGGGTACAAATGGGGCTGCTTTAGCCTTTAATGTTACAGGTTGGGCCAACGCAATGGCTCAATTTGTTTACGTAGTTGTTTGGTGCAAGGATGGGTGGACGGGATGGTCCTCGTCGGCATTCAATGAGATTTGGGCCTTTGTTAGACTCTCGGTTTCATCGGCAGTTATGCTATGCCTTGAAATATGGTACATGATGAGTATCATTATCCTCACAGGACATCTCAAGAATGCAGTTACTTCTGTTGGATCCCTCTCTATTTGGTGAGTTTGGTGTCTTGGCTTTTTTCTTTTAATAATGGTGGTTTTCACCCAGTTTATGCACACCTCGACTATTCCAGAGGAATCTCGTTTCTGACTCTGCCTACCAAAGCTAAGGTAGATGCAAAGATAACACCTTGCATAGCATCACATGTAGTCAACATTTTTAGTGTAGGATGATTAACTGTATAATGCTTAAGCTCGTTATAATGAAGTTTAACATTCACTTAGGCTAGTGAAGTTTTATCAATAGATGATTAATTTGTCTAGAGTACTGAATTTTAAGCTTAGCTGTTTATTTGATTGAATTCAACAACTAAATTGGCCTGTGTAAAGTCTGTGGCTTTGTGAATAGCTGTTGATGAAATGAAATATTGTTAGCTTTATTTACCAACTTGTGAGTTATGTCTCATTTTTTTATTTTATTTTTTCCAGCATGAATGTTGATGGATGGGAAGCAATGTTGTTCATTGGAATCAATGCTGCCATAAGGTAATTAAGTCTTAATGCTTGTAAAAGATGGTCTTTATTTGTTTGTGAATTTGTGCTAATATATTGTTGCTTTCTCAGTGTTCGTGTCTCAAATGAGCTTGGGCTAGGGCGTCCCAGGGCTACCAAATATAGCGTAATTATCACAGTGTTTCAATCACTCCTCATTGGGATAGTCTGCATGATTTTAGTATTGGCAGTAAGAAATCATCTGGCCATTCTTTTTACCAACAGCAAGGATTTGCAGCGAGCTGTTGCTGATCTTGCTTGGCTCCTTGGAATAACAATGCTTCTTAACAGTGTTCAGCCTGTAATATCAGGTATTCTTTTCATTCCATTTTACTGTTCTATGGTTAAAAGTGTCTTGTGTCTTTTATAGTCCTTATTGTGATCTTGTTGGGGCTATTCTGTCATTTGCAGGTGTTGCTATTGGAGGTGGATGGCAAGGTCTAGTGGCTTATATCAATTTGGGATCTTACTATGTCTTTGGTATTCCTCTAGGATACATTCTTGGTTATGTCGCTAACTTCGGAGTTGTGGTAAATAAACTCTTGTTCTGAATGTTAAATATCTTAAGTACATCAAATTTTAATCTCACTCTTTATTTGTAAGCATCTTTTTGTAGGAAACTATTGGTGATGAATAGAGACGCTACGTTTAGTGTCTCTAAAGTTTTGACAGAATTTTAACTTTATCCCAATTTTGGATTTTATCTTGCAGGGTCTATGGGGAGGAATGATAGCTGGACTTGCTTTGCAGACACTGCTACTCTCATTTGTACTCTACAGAATCGATTGGAATAAAGAGGTAAGTGAAACAATTAGCGATTTTTGTCCAATTAAACTGAAAGAAATCTTGCTTGATAATTTTTACTTCATTCTTGGTTGGAATCAGCTGCCTCTGTACAATGATTAACCTATAGAGGACAGAGGATTTTTGTTTTTACTTTCAAATTTTGTTTGAAGATCATTGCAATAAGGGAGTTGTTCAACTACTGCAGAGTTTTCTATTCCTCCTCTTTTCTTTGAAAATTAAATATAAAGCGATACTAGCTAAATATTTTGTGTGTCATGCATTCTTGTTTAACCTTTCCTTTCAGTATGAATTAGTCTTGTGTTGTGATTTGTAACAAGAAAATGGAAATGCAGGTTGAGCTATCGGCAGAGCGCATGCGCAAGTGGGGAGGTCAAGTCTTTGATGCTGAAAAACTTCTTATTACCGAGCCTATGAAGGGCTTACCTTAAGAGTAAGATTTTGTGGTGACATCAGAGGATGAAGAGTCTTCAGTTTTTGTTGTTGGAACCAGTTAATGATTTTGGATAGAATCCACATCTAGTGAGTGAATGAAGTGGAGTCTAAATCCATGTCAGATGCCAAGGTGGACGACAACGAGGCCATAACGGGAAATTAGGAGGTGCACACGGTTAAAATACCCTTAGAAAAGGCTAACAAATTTTGTATGAGACCCGAGTTAAAATATACTCTTCGCATTGTAAACTGGGGATTGCAATGAGCTGTTAGTTTTAATAGGAACGTAGCTGCAATTTAGAAGTTTAGGATAGATGTTCGTTATGATCTTTCTCCCTTATCTGTAACCCTGTAGTTTCAGCTTATCAATTAATAACAAAGTCCCCTTAATTTAGCCCCAAATTTTCTGGTCTCTCTGTGTTCGTTACATTACATTTTCCTATGACCCACTCCCTCTGTCCAACAACAGCAACACCATCCCATTGGAATCCCATAAGTGGGGTTTGGGGAGGGTAATGTGTACGCAGACCTTACGCCTACTCTAGGAAGGTAGAGGTTGTTTCCGAAAGACCCTCGGCTCGAGAGAAAGAATAGAAACGAGTAAATGATCCAAACCCCATTTTCCGTCTTCACTGTAGTTGACAGGAAAAAGTTCTACCTGTAGTATTGGCTAATTAACTTTCAAGGTGACATAGTAAGTTAGCCCCAAGAAGAGAAATTAACATGAAAGAGGAGGTTCCCAAATTGCTGAAGTTTTGACTTTTGCTTAGGAATTTATATCTATACTATATTAAAAGCACGAAGACCTTTAGCGAAATATTGTACGTTTTTTTTATCCTTTAAAAACAAATTTCACAATGGATAAAATTGTAATTTAAGTTACTCTCCTAAAACTTAGGACTTTGAAATCAATTAAAGTTTTGCATATCAAATTTTTCCTTATTAAACTAGATAAGAAAAAGATGCATTAATATTAAGTCTACCTTGTATAAATTGTACTAATTGAAAATATATCCTTGGTGTAATACTTCTAAAATCAATACTTTATACGGTGCCTGATCTCTAATTAAATTGTAATATTAGGACATAAAATCACATAATAAATTAAAATTGTTTAATATGTACTATAACATCTAAATTACATGTCAACGTGGATCAATAACGTGTAAATTACAATTCGAAGTGGAACAATACATTTTAAATTTTAATCATACAAAACTAATAATCCATGTTCAATTAAACTAAAATGATTATTTGATAGCATATTTAATTATACTAAATTGTACAAGCTTAAATCGATATTATAAAGGCATGAAACCTCTATGAAAAATATTACTTGATTTTTTTATCCTTAAATGTTTTTTATATTGAATAATATAATTTAAATATTTTACTAATATCCAGCACTTTAAAATTAATTAATATTTTCCTTATATATTAAATCTTTTTCATAATAATTTGTTCGACCTATTAAATTTTCATGTTTGAGTAATAATTATTTTTTCACACACGTTTCGACAAAGTTATGTAAATCATAAATCTATTTTCTTTATATCTCAGCAACCAAAACCTTACTAGCTTGGTAACAATGAAACTTTTGAAGAGAGATAAATTGAAAATACATAAAATATATTATATTTATGTCATTTGAAAAAAACTTAGAGAATCGTAAAAGAAGTATAGCTAATGAAACTTATTTGTGTATTCTCGAATGAACTTGAGAATAGTTTTGGGAAAAAAATATTTGAAAATTTCTTAAATCTCAAGGCTATATATTCTTTACTGAAACAAAAAATGAAGCACAATAACTTGTGAAATTTAACTAATAAAAATATATACAAAAATAAAATTTAAGGTGAATATATTAAATAATTGAGGATTTCTATGAACAAAGTTTTTCCTTTATTAAGTTAGCTATATAAGATCAATATTCATTAATTTCAGAGACTTACATTTTATTTTATAATTCAATACAATTTAAAAATATAAATATGTGATTTTCTTACCAAAAATTACTTTTTAAAATAGGAAACACACGCAACGAGCGTACATATTCGATATATATATATATATATAGGCCCTTAGCGAAATGTCGTTTTCTTTTTTACCCTTTAAAACAGCTTTTACAATAGAAAAATTATAATTTAATTTACTCTCCTAATATTTAGGACTTTGAAATTAAAGTCCTAAATAACTTGTGAAATTCAACTGATAAAATTATAAAATTAGAACAAATTTTAAGGTGAATATCAATTTCAGAAGCTTACATTTTATTTTATAATTTAAAAATATATGTAATTTCTTACAAAAAATGATTTATTAAGACAAAAAACACGCGCAACGTGTGTATCCTAACAGACTAGTAGCGAAAAAATAATCTTTTGTGTAAAATTTAGATTTTTATGTTTTTCAACATATAAAACTTAACATTTTTCAGGCAGCGTTTGTTTTCAATTTTTCTGTTTCGCATATCTAGTAGTATGAAAAAACTTAAGCGGAAATTTATGTATGCCAGATAACATGTGATATAAGAATAGTGAGATTAATAATACATGGATTAAAGCAACAATATGACCAAAATAACCCTTCATCCAATACTTTAATGAGACTTTAAAAAAAAGATATTCTGTTAAGATACTTAGCTTAAAGTAACGATATAAAATAAGGAAAAACAAGAGATATATAGAGAAATTGAGAGGAGAAATTCTTATTTCTTTCATGTATTCAAGTGTGTAGAATGTTATACCCAAACCCTCTATTTATAGGATGATATTGAGATAATACAAAGGGATGCCATGAACATGGTAATAACTATTGAGATCATGGGAAAAAGATCATGGAGGAGGTATGAAGGTGTGAGAATTACAACCAAGAGTATGGAAGTAACTTTCTTTACGAGTTTAGACATCCACTACGTAATATAATTCATAACATATTCTAAGATATAGCTCGTATAATAGTTGTGTACAACAAAACAAACACAACCTTAGTTGTCGCTTTTCCTATCCTGTTCCCCTTTTGTTCGTCCGGCCCTGGGAGCATTCTACGGTTTGGGTGATCAATTAAAGACTCCAGGCTTATTTAAAATGCTAGCCTGTTAAGAGATTCATGATGTAACAGAAGTAGGCGGGACATATGATACAAGTATAGTGAAGTTTTAACTACAGCACATCAGAAGCTTTTGTTGAAAAGATTCTTCCTTGATCTTGTAATACAAGTTCGTTAATAATAGACAGAGCACAAGAAGTGCACTATTTCACTACCAAAGACAGGTCATAGTGAAGAAATATAAACAAAGCAGAAAGGAGATAGAACCAAACATATATGAACAATAACATAGAGAACCAAAATCTCATTACACATCCATCAAAAATATAATGTTGACACTAGCTTACTGAGTGTTTTAAAAACCTCCTACCATAAAACTGACACTAACAAACAGCATGAGCTTAAATCATCTAGGCACCAGCCTTCTGCTTCTTTGGCACCCGATAGGCACCCACAACACAGGCGTGGTCCCTTTCAAAGGGTTCAAGGGTGACCTGCTCCATAGGTTTAAACTGCTCTGCTTGTAGCTTTTTCACTTCCTGAGCAAATACAGCCTCAGCTGGCACTGTTGAATCTATGCAGTTGGCCTAGAAAAAAATACAGGGGAAATTTGTCAACTATAGAGAAGAAAAGAAGAGAAAACAAAATCAACAGAAAAATGGAAGAAACTAAGGAACAAGTGGCACTGTAAGAATCTATTTACATCAGCATAAATCGAGCAGTGGCCAAAGTAGTATAGTACAAACCTTGATTGATATAACAAAGTGACCTCCAGCTTTCAAGAAGTATGATGCATTCAGAGCTAAAATTCTTGCCTGTAAACAAATTATCTTATTTAAACATTGGTATAGAATTCATACAATATACTGCTTGCTGCCGGACAAGAATGGAAGGGAATATATCCTAAACAAACAATTCAAAGGAAACCACAGTTTCTTCCTTTTATGGATAAATCTCCAGACTGTAGGCCCCAAAGACAAATAGATACAAAATTTACTCTTCCTGGTAAGGCAAATACAATAGGTTTTAAGAAGAAACTTAAGGCAAATAAAAAGTAAACCAGATACAATAACAACTAATTAACATGATTTAACTCATAAATGCTTGTTGATACAAGAAAAAACAATTCTTATTACAAAATCAACAAGAATTACTTGTGCAAAAAGAAGTATGAAACTGTTGTAGTGTTTCATTTTCTTTAAGCAGGAACAAAGAGAAAGAACGTAAAGTTATTCTTTTAAAAGAAAGGGATGGAAAGTAATGCTGAAACTAAGAAATCAAATATGGAATAAATAATACAGCATCAGAAACTCGGTTTTTGCATCACCCATAATGTCTTGAAGGGGAATCCGAGTAAATCATCATCTGCATTCCATTTCAATATAAGAGCAAAAGGACAAGAAAATTCAAAGATAAAGAAACAATTTTTTTAAAGTAAAAGTTTCTTGAGCAAAAAAACAAAAATTTAAAGATTGGGCAGGAAATTCAAAGAGCATTAGACATTTCTTTGTTAAAGAAAAGCACTACAAGGAGCAAAAGCAGCCACAAACCTGCAGGTTCCTTGAAGAAAAAGAAGAAGGATAGCCAAAACAATGATTGAAAAAGACAGACCAGTCGAACTCCACACTCAACCAAAAGGACAGACAACATAATTTTCTCTTAAAGAAAAAATGATAATGCAAAAATAATATCAATGAAATATAAATCTACAGCAAATGAAGATCATGCACTCAGAGATCGATTGACTACTATTGCACATCTATGGCCATAAAAGTCAAACCTGATCAGGCTGAGCAACATCAGAAAATATCACATCCACCATTCCGACAAGCATTCTGTATTTTGCTGGGTGTCTAGCATCCTCAATAATGGGGATAACATTAGTGCGTTTCTTAGCCATGTTTACCAAGTCCCTTCCACTTCTGTGAGAAAATTCAACTGCATATACCACCCCACCCTGCAAAAGAAAAGAGAAATTAGTAAATACGAGCACATTCATCAACTATATATGGGAATTTGTTATAATAAATAGTATGTGCATAGACACTTACAGGACCAACAAGATCGGAAACATGAGACACTGTGGTTCCTGATGCAGCTCCAAGGTAAAGGACCTTAGCACCAGGTTTCTGGAACAAATTCAATATTGAAAGAAGAATGTTAATATAGAAACAAGAAAAAGTGTCAAGCACCTTAGTAGAAAAGAAACAAACTTACTATCCAGATATCATCAACTCCTCCAAGAACTGCAGCTGCTAACTTAGAACGGAAGGGATTCCACACTCTATATTCAACCTTTGTTCCATCTTCATTCTAAGGATAAAATAATAACATAAGTCAACAACGTGTACATTATAGAAATAGTAAAGCTGATTAGTTCTGAAATGCAGAGTTCAATAAGTTTTTACTTTATAGAATTATTTAAGCTGGTTAATTCTGAAATACAAAGGTTAATAAGCTTTTACTATATTATATTCACAAATGTCTAACAAGTAGAACAGAACTTCATGGCAGGTCATGTAAATAATGTAAACGAGATGGGTGGAACAAGGGCAAATCAAAACGTTACACTTATTTGCACCTTACAATCAATACATTATACTTCGTTGTTCCTTCTTCCAAGTTGAAAACATCAGCAAAAGACCATTTGAGTTACATTTAAACTTGATCTGTAAATTGATTGGGACAAGTCACAGTCCATAAAAGGCCCAATCATAAACTTTTATCAACAAATCTTTACTTTAGACTCATATTTCCACTTTATTTCCAAATTAATATCACTAAGCTTATAGCAAATCCAAGAAAGATTCAGCCTTTGAATCATTTACTAAGAATCATCTAAACTTATGCACACATAAAAACAATTTTTGAACTAAAGACAACGCAAAAGCAAATGTTATTAACCTGAACAGAGATTCTCTTCTCATTGTAGACAGCTTCACCGGGCACTAAATTCTTAGTACAAAGAGCATCCTCCTTACCCTTAGCAATAAACACACCTCCATGTCTATGTGGCTCCACCATTACCTTATTACCACCCTTAAACCCACCTCCACGTCCTCCCCTTCCTCCGCCTCTTCCTCCGCCTCCTCTACCTCCTCCTCCTCTTCCTCCGCCGCGCTTCATTGCACTTCCTCCACCACCTCTACCGCCGCCAAAACCACCTCTGCCACCTCGTCCTCCTCTTCCTCCACCATCTCCTCTACCACCCCTGAATCCACCACCTCCACGACCTGCAAAACGAGGAAGTGAACCAACCATATATTAGAACAGAAACAAATACTGATATTACTACGTTAGACCTAATTACCTAGAGCAAGATATTCATACCTCTAGTTGGTGCAACCATGGCTGCTGCTGCTGCAACTTTGTTGACTGTAGTAAGAGAGTGGAGCAGAAAAGTACGCTATAGAACCCTAAGGCTGAGTGGCGTTCTCAAGTCGAGGGGGGACTTTTTATAATGATAAATCAGGGTTTAGGGTTTTGCGAGTTGAAAAAATGAGACGAGTTGGGCTACTGGGCCGGCAAGTTTATTCATATTGGGCCGATACTCCTCTCCCTTTGGTAACTGAGAGGAAAAGTACACAAATAGCAGCCCGTCCAAGCTCATTTAAGAAATTTTTACTGAGTTATACTACTTTTGAAACTTGGTTACCGTCACTATTAAAGTTTTAACTTAATTACAATTTTATATATAATTTTATAATTATATATAAATTAGTATTAAATAAATATTCCTTTATATTAGAATTGAAAGTGAGTATCAGTTCTCCTTCTCTATTCTTTTCAGAATTTTGTTCCTTCAATTTTCATTGCATTTATCTCTTTTTTCAGGGAATTCATTAATGAATTTCAATCGTTTTACTATAGGGTTTTAACTTAGTAATTTTATTTCATGTTACGAAATTTGTGTTTGAATTAAAGTTATCATTCCATAAATTTTGATGGTATTTTGACTCTCCACCATTGACAGCTATTAAAAAGTTTTGAAGCTTTGAATTCGAATTCGGATTTTCAAAAATATTATTTGTTTGGATTGAGTGTTGTTGCAAATGATAGGTAAAGGATTTAAACAATAGATCTTTGTGGTCCGCCCCTTCCCGTATCCCGCACATAGTGGGAGCTTAGTGCACCGGATTGGGTGTTGTTGCAAATGATTGGGAATATTTTTTTTGGAGTTTATATCTCAATTTTGAGAATTTTTGGTGAAGACTAGAATTGATTTTAGCTGGATTACAGATTGAAAGAAGAAGAAGAAGAAGAAGAAGAAGAAGAAGAAGAAGAAGAAGAAAAAGCAGAAGACATGATATGCAATATACATAGATTTGTATTAAAATTGTATTAAAGTTATATTATAGATGTATATATATATATATATATGTACAACTGATATTTGGTGTAAAAAACAGAAATTCAAGCAAGTAAAGAAACTGAATTGTTTTCTTGATTTCAATTCATCTCCGAAAACAAAAAATTCTCCAATTTCATCCATCGAAACTCTAACTCGAAAATCTGTAATTAATACACTCTGTTTCATGAATTTGAAACAAAAAAGAAGAAGAAACAGATAGAAAACAATAAAATTCCCCAATTTCACCCATCAAAACCCTAACTCGAAAATTTCCGATTCTTCTGTGGGTTAATTGATATTAAAGAGTAAGAGATTTAGTTCAAGAGATTTAAGAGAGAAAGTAGAAAAATTCGCACAAATCACAGGTACAAACACAACTCACAGGCCAACAACTAAGGAGTAAAGGTGATACAGAGCAATAATCGAGCAAAATAACTTTGAATCAAATTCAAATCAGAACTTCAGAAAGAAAGTTTTACCTGATTTCGAATTGGTCTTGTGATGGATCGTTTCTCTGCTGCTTTTTTTTTTGGTGTCTACTTTGCTAAGGAATATATTGAAAGATAAGAAAAGCATATATGTGGGAGTAGCCAAAAATGTACACGTATATCTGCAGAGAGCACAAAAGGACACGTATAGAGCTAATCTATACTATATTAAAAGCACGAAGGCCCTTAGCGAAATGTCGTTCGTCTTTTTTACCCTTTTAAAATAGAGTTCACACTAGACAATATAGTCATTTTAATTATTTTCCTTATACTTAGGAATAGACATTTATTTATTTTCCTAATATTTAGGAATAAATTTGTGTAATTAGGAAAAATTTATTTTTAGGACACAATGTGTTCTCGCTAGGATTCCTATGCAAACTTCCGATCCCTTCTATCCTATAGTGTGAAACTTTTCCCTCAAGACAACCTTATTTGCATAAACCCTAAGAAGTCTTCTAAAGCATCATGACTTTGGCCTAAACTAAACGGCGAACATATGTACTCTCAAGAAAGTCGGACAGGTACATAGTTAATTTGTTTGATCGTTCCTTTGGTTAATTTTAAGTGTGTACTAAACTATACAATTTTTTTTTTTTAGTTTTGTATAGTTTGTGTATTCTTATATTATTTGTTTAGGTTTGATGTAGTCGATCATTGTAAGCGCAAATCTTTTTTTCTTTTGGTAGGAGAGTCCAACTCTAACACTAAATGCGATGACACATTTCTAGTTTGTCTAGGTTTGATTATTTAGTATTTAGGTTACATTGATGCCTTATTATATTTCGTTGGCTGCAATTTACGGAAGAAGAGGTCATAAGTGAAAGCTCATGTCTCAGAAATCTAACCGCTGAATGGTTATTCAACTATGTTGAGATTTGTACAACAAGAACGATTCTTAGCATTAATAAATTGTAGTTGTAATAATTATATATTTTTTATCCGTGTTGGTAATTTGTATTGGCAGATATTCGGCCATTTTGCGACCAGGGGGTCAACCCCATCACGACCACTTTGTAGTAAATGGTCAACGCTGCTGACTCTTAACTTATGACAGTTGTGCTTAAAACAAACGAGGGGACGTCTCCACAACAAAAGGAGGGGCCCATTCGTGACAAGATGAAAAAGCCTGAGGCTATAAATACCAAGAGAGAGAACCTCCCAAGGGGGGCTTCTTCCGGGACACAACCCTGAATATTCCAGAAATAGAAAGATATACTCCATAAGTGGAGCAAGAAACAAGATCAATGTATGATCCTGAACCTCTTCAAGGAGAGGCAGGTCAAGTCATCTTGATGAATAAAATCCCATTTATATTGTTTTATAATTGATTATTTCTGTGTTTCAAGTTGGTCTTCTAATTCCGCGATTAATTATGATTGGCTATGATTTACCCTTTGATTCATTTTGATTGTTTTCGCTTACAAAGTAATTAATATCTTTTGAGGCGAACAATTTGGCGCCATCTGTGGGGATTTTCTAGCGAAATCACATAGTTTCTTCCTGGAATCGAAGCCAAAGGAACGTCAAAAAAAGAAGAGAAGAAAGCAATCCAACTCAGACAGACCAGAAGAAGCACATCAAGCACGTAATACTCGAATGCATCAAAGGAAACTGAGATCCGAAAACAACCAAACAAGAGGAAGAAGCCCCTCTCCCTCAGAACAAAAGTATGAGGCATTTCCTTCAGCCCTAATACGGTGTCAAGCCGAAAACCAGCACAGGGCTGTCTCAAGCCAGAACCGGGACTCAGGCCAAGTGCCTTCGCCATCAGAATATATCCGGTTCGACCTCAGTCGAACCGGGACTCAGGCCAAGTGCCTTCGCCATCAAAATATATCAAGTTCGACCTCAGTCGAACCGGGACTCAGGCCAAGTGCCTTCGCCATCAGAATATATCAGGTTTGACCTCAGTCGAACCGGGACTCAGGCCAAGTGCCTTCGCCATCAAAATATGTCAAGTTCGACCTCAGTCGAACCAGGACTCAGGCCAAGTGCCTTCGCCATCAAAATATATCAGGTTCGACTGAGTGCCTTCGCCATCAAAATATATCAAGTTCGACCTCAGTCGAACCGGGACTCAGGCCACGTGCCTTCGCCATCAGAATATATCAGGTTCGACCTCAGTCGAACCGGGACTCAGGCCAAGTGCCTTCACCATCAAAATATATCAAGTTCGACCTCAGTCGAACCGGGACTCAGGCCATGTGCCTTCGCCATCAAAATATATCAGGTTCGACCTCAGTCGAACCGGGACTCAGGCCACGTGCCTTCGCCATCAGAATATATCAGGTTCGACCTCAGTCGAACCGGGACTCAGGCCAAGTGCCTTCGCCATCAAAATATATGTTCGACCTCAGTCGAACCGGGACTCAGGCCAAGTGCCTTCGCCATCAGAATATATCAGGTTCGACTGAGTGCCTTCGCCATCAAAATATATCAAGTTCGACCTCAGTCGAACCGGGACTCAGGCCAAGTGCCTTCGCCATCAAAATATGTCAAGTTCG